TCTTTCCCCCCCTTTTCTTTCCCCCCCTTTTAAATTTCCCCCCCTTCCCCTTCCAACCCCCCCCTTTTCCCCCCCTTCTCTTCCTCCCTTCTCCCCCACCCCTTCTCTTCCTCCCCTTTTTCTTCCCCCCTTCTTTCCACCCCCTTTTCTTCCACCCCTTCTCTTCCCCCCCTTCTCTTCCACCCCTTCTCTTTCCCCCCCTTTTCTTTCCCCCCCTTCTCTTTTCCCCCCCCTTCTTTTTCCACCCCCTTTTCCTTCCTTTCCCCTTTTCTCCACCCCCTTTTCTTTCCCCCCCTTCTCTTCCTCCCCTTCTCTTCCTTTCCCCCTTTTCTTTCCAAACCCCTTTTCTTCCTCCCCCTTTTCTTTTCCCCTCCTTCTCTTCCTCCCCTTCTCTTTCCCCCCATTCTTCCCCCCCTTCCTTCCAAAAAAAACCTTTTCCCCTCCCCTCTTCCACCCCCTTTTCTTCCTCCCCTTCTCTTTCCCCCCCTTTTCCCCCCTCCCCCTTTTCTTCCACTCCATCTCTTTCCCCCCCCTTCTCTTCCTCCCCTTTTCTTTTCCCCCCCCTTTTCTTCCTCCCCTTCTCTTCCCCCTTTTTCTCCCTCCCCTTCTCTTCCACCCCCTCTCTTTTCCCCCCCTTTTCTTTTCCCCCCCATCTCTTTCCCCCCCTTCTCTTCCACCCTTTTCTTCCCCCCCTTCTTTTTCCCCCCCTTCTCTTCCTCCCCTTCTCTTTTCCCCCCCTTTTCTTCCCCCCCCTTTTCTTCCACCCCCCTTTTTCTTCCACCCCCTTTTCTTCCCCCCCCTTCTCTTCCACCCCCCTCTTTCCCCCCCTTTTTCTTTCCCCCCCATCCCCTTTTCCCCTTTCCTCTCTTCCACCCCAAACCTTCCTCCCCTTCTCTTCCACTCCTTTTTCTTCCTCCCCTTCTCTTTCCCCCCCTTCTCTTTCCCCCCCTTCTCTTCCACCCCCTTTTTCCCCCCCTTTTTCTTCCACCCCATCTCTTTCCCCCCTTCCTTCCACCCCCTCCTTCCTTTCCCCCTTTTCTTCCACTCCTTCTCTTCCTCCCCCTTTTTCTTTCCCCCCCCCTTTCCCTCTTTTCCCCCCCTTCTCTTCCACCCCTTCTCTTCCACCCTTCCCCTTCCCCCCCTTCCCCTTCCCCCCCTTCTCTTCCCCCCTTCTCTTCCCCCCCTTCTCTTTTCCCCCCCTTCTCTTCCCCCCCTTCTCTTCCCCCCTTCTCTTCCACCCCTTCTCTTCCTCCCCTTCCTTCCACCCCTTCTCTTCCACCCCTTCTCTTTCCCCCCCTTCCCCTTCCTCCCCTTCTCTTCCACCCCCCTTTTCTTCCCCCCCTTCTCTACCTCCCCTTCTCTTCCACCACTTCTCTTCCCCCCCCTTCTCTTCCTCCCCTTCTCTTCCACCCCTTCTCTTCCCCACCCCTTTTCACCACCCCTTTTTCCCTTCCCCCCTTCTCTTCCCCCCCCTTCTCTTCCCCCCCCTTTTCCCTTTCCCCCCCCTTTTTCTTTTTCCCCTCCTTCTCTTTCCCCCCTTCCTTCCACCCCTTTTCCTTTCCCCCCTTCTCTTCCCCCCCCCTTCCTTCCCCCCCTTTTTTTCCACCCCCTTTTCTTCCACCCCTTCCCCTTTCCCCCCCTTCTCTTCCACCCCCTTTTTCCCCCCCTTCTCTTCCACCCTTCCTTCCTCCCCTTCTCCCACCCCTTCCTTCCCCACTTCTCTTCCACCCCTTCTCTTCCACCCCTTCTCTTTCCCTTTCCCTTCCTTCCTCCCCTTCTCTTCCACCCCCTTCCCTTTTTTCCCCCCTTTTCTTCCACCCCTTCTCTTCCTCCCCCTTTTCTTCCACCCCTTCTCTTCCACCCCTTCTCCTCCACCCCCTTCTCTTTTCCCCCCCCTTTTTCTTCCCCCCCTTCTCTTCCACCCCTTCTCTTCCTCCCCTTTTTCTTTCCCCCCCCTTCCTTTTCCCCCCTTCTCTTCCTCCCCTTCTCTTCCACCCCCTTTTTTCCACCCATTTCTCTTTCCCCCCCCCTTCTCTTTTCCCCCCCTTCCTTCCACCCTTTTTCTTCCTCCCCCCTTTTCTACCTCCCCTTCCTTCCTCCCCCTTTTCTTTTCCCCCCTTTCTTCCACCCCCTTTTTTTCCTCCCCTTCTCTTCCACCCCTTTTCTTCCCCCCTTCTCTTCCCCCCTTCTCTTTCCCCCCCTTCCTTTTTTTCCCCCCTTTTCTTCCCCCCCCTTCTCTTCCACCCCTTTTCTTCCACCCCTTCTCTTCCTCCCCCTTCTCTTTCCCCCCCCTTCTCTTTTCCCCCCCTCTCTTTCCCCCCCAAACTTTTTCCTCCCCTCTCTTCCACCCCTTCTCTTCCCCCCCCTTCTTTTTCCCCCCCCTTTCTTCCTCCCCTTCTCTTTCCCCCTCTTTTCTTCCTCCCCCTTTTCTTCCTCCCCCCTTCTCTTTTTCCCCCCTTCTCCCTTTCCCCCCCTTCCCCCTTCCTCCCCCCTTTTCTTCCCCCCCTTCTCTTCCCCCCCCTTCCCCTTCCTCCCCTTCTCTTCCACCCCCTTTTCTTCCACCCCTTCTCCTCCACCCTTCTCTTCCACCCCTTCTCTTCCACCCCCTTTTCCCTTTCCCCCCCTTCTTTCCTCCCCCCTTTTCCCTTTTTCCCCCCTTTTTCTTCCAACCCCCTTTTCCTTTCCCCCCTTCTCTTTCCCCCCCCTTTCCCCTTTAAATAAATTTCTCTTTTCCTTCCCCCCTTCCCTTCCCCCCCTTTTTCTTCCCCCCCCTTCTCTTCCCCCCCCCTTTTCTTCCCCCCCTTCTCTTCCCCCCCTTCTCTTCCTCCCCTTCCCCCTTCCTCCCCTTCTCTTCCACCCCTTTTTCTTCCACCCCCTTTTCTTTTTCCCCCCCTTCTCTTCCACCCCTTCTCTTCCTCCCCCTTTTCTACCTCCCCCTTTTTTCCACCCATTCCTTCCAAACCCCTTCTCTTCCACCCCATTCTCTTTCCCCCCCTTCTCTTCCACCCCTTCCCCTTCCCCCCTTCTCTTCCCCCCCTTCTCTTTCCCCCCCTTTCTTCCACCCCTTCCTTTCCCCCCCTTTTTCTTCCCCCCCTTTTTCTTCCCCCCCCCTTCTCTTCCACCCCTTCTCTTCCTTTCCCCCTTTTCTACCTCCCCTTTTCTTCCCAAACCCCTTCTCTTCCACCCCTTCTCCCCCCCCTTCCTTCCTCCCCCTTTTCTTTCCCCCCCTTTTCTCCCCCCTTCTCTTCCACCCCTTCTCTTTTCCTCCCCCCCTCTTTCCCCCCCTTCTCTTCCCCCCCCTTTTCTTCCACCCCTTTCTTTTCCCCCCCTTCTCTTCCACCCCTTCTCTTCCCCCCTTCTCTTCCCCCCCTTTTCTTCCCCCCCTTCCCCTACCTCCCCCTTTTCCTTCCTCCCCTTCTCTTTTCCCCCCCTTTTCTTCCACCCCCTTTTCCCTTTCCCCCCCCCCTTTTCTTTCCCCCCTTCCCCTTCCACCCCTTTCCCCTTCCACCCCTTCTCTTCCCAAACCCCCTTTTCTTCCTCCCCTTCTCTTCCACCCCTTTTTCTTCCCCCCCTTCTCTTCCCCTCCTTCTCTTCCTCCCCTTCTCTTTCCCCCCCTTCTCTTCCCACCCCTTTCTTCCACCCCCTCTTCCTCCCCTTTTCTTCCACCCCTTCTCCCCCACCCCTTTTTCCCCTTTCCCCCCTTCTCTTTCCCCCCCTTCTCTTTCCCCCCCTTTTCTTCCCCCCCTTTTTCTTCCTCCCCTTTTTCTTCCCCCCCCTTCTCTTTTTTCCCCTTCTCCTCCCCCTTCCTCCGCCCGCTTGACCTGGGTGTGGGTGGGGAGGCAATATTTGTCCCGGTAAATATGGGGGCGTGTTCCAGTTACCCTTTTAACGTGAGAGAGAGAGAGAGGGGGAGAGAGAGGGGAGAGAGAGAGAAAAAAGAGAGAGAAGAGAGGGGAGAGAGAGAGAAAAAGAGAGAGAAAAAAAAAGAGAGAGTGATTTAGTGAGTTTAACAAATTAGGGGGACCCGCAGATTTTCGTCCAAACCCCACACAAAAAACTCACGCATAAAAAAGATTTTTTTGTCCCGCATGTTTTAAATAAAAAAACAAAAGTTTTGGGGAGGGATTTTCTTACTAGTGTGGCGAGACAGAAAGAAATAAGAAAAACAAAACCCAAAAACCAAAGAGAATAAAACATTAAAGAAGACTTTCTTAAAAACTGATAATCGATGGGATTTAACCCCAAAAAATATAAACAGTGGGCTTGATTTGGGTTCCTTTCGAACAGTCGGGCTAGCTCCTAGGAATGTATTTTTTTTGCTAGGTGAAAAGAGGCAAACCGGGGGTAAGGAAGCCCTTTTCCCATTCATCTCACCTCCCCGGGCTTTAAAAAAGGGTCCTCCAGTTTGAGACGAACACACTACCCTTTTAGTCTGCCTTTGTTTTCCCCGCTGTCACTTTGGGGCCGTCTGGGAAAAAACTTAACTCCCTGGCAATGTGTCACCCTTGTAAAAGCTTAATAGAGGGGGAAACGTTCCCGACACTTGGGTTATTGTAGTTTTCGGCAAATGAGCTGCTTTCCCTCCTTGCCAAATTTTAGCTCACATCTGAAAGGAAAAGAGAGTTTGATTTCCGGGACGAAATGGTAACGCTGGAAAATTTCCCCCCAGCGTCACCTTCATCTTGGGGGTTTTTCACCAGCCAGCGTCACATTCGTCTTAGGGTTGTTCATCCTAGCCAGCGTCACCTTCATCTTGGGGTTGTACATCCTAGCCAGCGTCACCTTCATCTTGGGGTTGTTCATCCTAGCCAGCGTCACCTTCATCTTGGGGTTATTCATCCAGCCAGCGTGCAGGTCACTTCATCTTGGGTTGTACATCCTAGCCAGCGTCACCTTCATCTTGGGTTGTTCTTCCTAGCCAGCGTCACCTTCATCTTGGGGTTGTTCATCCTAGCAGCGTCACACCTTTATCTTGGGTTGTACATCCTAGCCAGCGTCACCTTCATCTTGGGGTTGTTCATCCTAGCCAGCGTCACCTTCATCTTAGGGTTGTTCATCCTAGCCAGCGTCACCTTCATCTTAGGGTTGTACATCCTAGCCAGCGTCACCTTCATCTTGGGGTTGTTCATCCTAGCCAGCGTCACCTTCATCTTAGGGTTGTTCATCCTAGCCAGCGTCACCTTCTATCTTGAGGGTTGTACATCCTAGCCAGCGTCACCTTCATCTTGGGGTTGTTCATCCTAGCCAGCGTCACCTTCATCTTGGGGTTGTACATCCTAGCCAGCGTCACCTTCATCTTGGGGTTGTTCATCCTAGCCAGCGTCACTTCATCTTAGGGTTGTTCATCCTAGCCAGCGTCACCTTCATCTTGGGTTGTCATCCTAGCCAGCGTCACCTTCATCTTGGGGTTGTTCATCCAAGCCAGCGTCACCTTCATCTTGGGTTGTTACATCCTAGCCAGCGTCACCTTCATCTTGGGGTTGTTCATCCTAGCCAGCGTCACCTTCACTTGGGGTTGTTCATCCTAGCCAGCGTCACTCATCTTAGGGTTGTACATCACTAGTCCAGCGTCACCTTCATCTTAGGGTTGTTACATCCTAGCCAGCGTCACCTTCATCTTAGGGTTGTTCATCCTACCGGTACCGTTCGGGGTTGAACCTAGCCAGTACCTCATCTTGGGGTTGTTCATCCTAGCCAGCGTCACCTTCATCTTAGGGTTGTATCATCCTAGCCAGCGTCACCTTCACTTGGGTTGTATCATCCTAGCCAGCGTCACCTTCATCTTGGGGTTGGTTGTCATCCTAGCCAGCGTCACCTGCTCTTGGGTTGTTCATCCTAGCCAGCGTCACCTTCATACTTGGGTTGTTCATCCTAGCCAAGCGTCACCTTCATCTTGGGGTTGTCATCTAGCCAGCGTCACTTCAATCTTAGGGTTGTACATCCTAGCCAGCGTCACCTTCATCTTGGGGTTGTTCATCCTAGCCAGCGTCACCTTCATCTTGGGTTGTTCATCCTAGCCAGCGTCACTTCTACTCTGGGGTTGTACATCCTAGCCAGCGTCACCTTCATCTTAGGGTTGTTCATCCTAGCCAGCGTCACCTTCATCTTGGGTTGTTCATCCTAGCCAGCGTCACCTTCATCTTGGGGTTGTACATCCTAGCCAGCGTCACCTTCATCTTGGGTTGTTCATCCTAGCCAGCGTCCACCTTCATCTTGGGGTTGTTCATCCTAGCCAGCGTCACCTTCATCTTAGGGTTTACATCCTAGCCAGCGTCACCTTCACATCTTGGGTTGTTCATCCTAGCCAGCGTCACCTTCATCTTAGGGTTGTACATCCTAGCCAGCGTCACCTTTCATCTTGGGGTTGTTCATCCTAGCCAGCGTCACCTTCATCTTGGGGTTGTTCATCCTAGCCAGCGTCACCTTCATCTTGGGTTGTCATCCTAAACCAGCGTCACCTTCATCTTAGGGTTGTTACAAACCTAGCCAGCGTCACCTTCATCTTTGTTGTACATCCTAAACCAGCGTCACCTTCATCTTAGGGTTGTCATCCTAGCCAGCGTCACCTTCATCTTGGGGTTACATCCTAGCCAGCGTCAAACCCTTCATCTTGGGTTGTACATCCTAGCCAGCGTCACCTTCATCTTGGGTTTGTTCATCCTAGCCACGTCACCTTCATCTTAGGTTGTACATCCTAGCCAGCTCACCTTCATCTTGGGTTGTTCATCCTAGCCAGCGTCACCTTCATCTTAGGGTTGTACATCCTAGCCAGCGTCACCTTCATCTTGGGTTGTTCATCCTAGCCAGCGTCACCTTCATCTTAGGGTTGTACATCCTAGCCAGCGTCACCTTCATCTTGGGTTTGTACATCCTACCAGCGTCACCTTTCATCTTAGGGTTGTTACATCCTAGCCAGCGTCACCTTCATCTTGGGTTGTTCATCCTAGCCAGCGTCACCTTCATCTTGGGGTTGTACATCCTAGCCAGCGTCACCTTCATCTTAGGGTTGTTCATCCTAGCCAGCGTCACCTTCATCTTGGGGTTGTACATCCTAGCCAGCGTCACCTTCATCTTGGGGTTGTACATCCTAGCCAGCGTCACCTTCATCTTAGGGTTGTACATCCTAGCCAGCGTCACCTTCATCTTAGGGTTGTACATCCTAGCCAGCGTCACCTTCATCTTAATGTTGTACATCCTAGCCAGCGTCAACCTTCATCTTAGGGTTGTACATCCTAGCCAGCGCCCAACCTTTATCCTTGGGTTGTTCATCCTAGCCAGCGTCACCTTCATCTTGGGGTTGTACATCCTAGCCAGCGTCACCTTCATCTTAATGTTGTACATCCTAGCCAGCGTCACCTTCATCTTAGGGTTGTACATCCTAGCCAGCGTCACCTTTATCCTTGGGGTTGTTCATCCTAGCCAGCGTCACCTTCATCTTGGGGTTGTACATCCTAGCCAGCGTCACCTTCATCTTGGGGTTGTTCATCCTAGCCAGCGTCACCTTCATCTTGGGGTTGTTCATCCTAGCCAGCGTCACCTTCATCTTGGGGTTGTACATCCTAGCCAGCGTCACCTTCATCTTAGGGTTGTTCATCCTAGCCAGCGTCACCTTCATCTTGGGGTTGTTCATCCTAGCCAGCGTCACCTTCATCTTAGGGTTGTTCATCCTAGCCAGCGTCACCTTCATCTTGGGGTTGTTCATCCTAGCCAGCGTCACCTTCATCTTGGGGTTGTTCATCCTAGCCAGCGTCACCTTCATCTTGGGGTTGTTCATCCTAGCCAGCGTCACCTTCATCTTGGGGTTGTTCATCCTAGCCAGCGTCATTTTCATCTTAGGGTTGTTCATCCTAGCCAGCGTCACCTTCATCTTAGGGTTGTACATCCTAGCCAGCGTCACCTTCATCTTAGGGTTGTTCATCCTAGCCAGCGTCACCTTCATCTTGGGGTTGTTCATCCTAGCCAGCGTCACCTTCATCTTAGGGTTGTTCATCCTAGCCAGCGTCACCTTCATCTTGGGGTTGTACATCCTAGCCAGCGTCACCTTCATCTTGGGGTTGTACATCCTAGCCAGCGTCACCTTCATCTTAGGGTTGTTCATCCTAGCCAGCGTCACCTTCATCTTAGGGTTGTTCATCCTTGCCAGCGTCACTTTCGCTCCAGCACTCACACATTCCAAACTTGATATATTTTTTCTGTCAAATCAGCCAGTCAGGAGACTATGTATTTATTTACTGTCAACGTGGAAGGTAGACGCAGTTTGTGACGAGGTGTTAGTGTGTGAGGCCAGTTGATTGGTTAGTTGCTCGTGATAGAGAGGAGTTAGTTGACTGGTTATTTACAAGATTATCATGCCCTACACTTGATTGTCATGCCCTACACTTGATTGTCATGCCCTACACTTGATTGTCATGCCCTACACTTGATTGTCATGCCCTACACTTGATTATCATGCCCTACACTTGATTATCATGCCCTACACTTGATTATCATGCCCTACACTTGATTATCATGCCCTACACTTGATTATCATCCCCTACACTTGATTATCATCCCCTACACTTGATTATCACGCCCTACACTTGATTATCACGCCCTACACTTGATTATCATCCCCTACACTTGATTATCATGCCCTACACTTGATTATCATCCCCTAACACTTGATTATCATGCCCTACACTTGATTATCATCCCCTAACACTTGATTATCATCCCCTACACTTGAGTATCATGCCCTATGCTTGATTATCATGCCCTACACTTGATTATCATGCTGTGTTTGATAAGCTTGAAATAATTCAGAAGACAGTCATGTGGATCACGTCTGGTTCTGCAGGAATCATAAATATGGGAGAAGTGAAGCTTCCTACTGTGTATGAAAGACTTGTAGAGTTTATAGCAACCTCCTGTGCTATGACTCACGAAATCGTAATGACACGATTGCAAACAAACCATACCACGGGCGGGATTTGAACCCGCGGTCAGAGTCTCAAAACTAACGCGACGGTCTCGAGTTTTGAGACTCTCTGACCGCGGGTTCAAATCCCGCTCGTGGTATGGTTTCTCCTGTGCTATGATGGGTAGCGGTTCAGTGATGTACCGTTTCATGTTTACATCTTGCCAGACAGTGTCATAACACCACTCATTGTCTGTACTTCAAGTAGCTGAAGACAAATGCGACTTATCTAACCAAACCGAAGATCCTTATTAAATGGAGTACACCTGTCAACGATATCCTTCCTCGTACATGCACACTACTTACTGTGTAAGTATAGTACATGCCTCTCACTAAGAACAATGAATGAGAATGCACACTCAAGAGGGTGTGAGTTAGACTCAAGAAATCGTAATGACACGATTGCAAACAAACCATACCCTCGGCCGGGATTGAACCCGCGACGGGCTGGAGTTTTGAGACTCTATGACCGCGGGTTCAATCCCGGCCGGGGGTATGGTTTGGTGTGAGTTGGACCTGATTAGCTTGTGCTATCAGGTCGGTTGCCGTGTACCTCCCTTAAGTCAGTGTGACTTGACCTGACTAGGTTGGGTGCATTGGCTTAAGCCGGTAGGAGACTTGGACCTGCCTCGCATGGGCCAGTAGGCCTGCTGCAGTGTTCCTTCGTTCTTATGTTCTTAAGACGGCAGTGTAAGACGCTATAGCCTGGTATGTAGGTACCTTGCTGACCAGTGAGAATCATGTTTACACTGGTGGTTCAGTACACCAGACTACAGGCTGCTCTGTACCACCCTGAAAATACACGCAAGATACTGCATACATAAACACTAGTAGCATCAGACTGAACAACTAGCGCTGTTTAACACTAACAAGAGCTAACAGCACAGGAATTATCATCCAACATATTAAAAAAACACAAGTGGGAGAGGATTGGTAATCTGCGACTGTAAGTATGCTCTTCAAACACTTAAGAGTCGTCTGCAACGTGGATACAAGGAACATCATAATGGACATTAATAGAGTTTGGAACAAAAGATTTCGTGTCTCATTTTCCTGGATATTTTCCCGCATATGACCCGGCTGTTATGTTGACACGCACAAAATGCTAGATACCTTTTGTGACATCGCGAACATGGAGTTTCAACTGGGCATTCCTCTCACCGTCGTTAAAAGCAACCTCTTGAAGGGTATCAGTTCTGGCGGACGAGA